CAGTCCTGAGGCGGGACCGCAGAGCAGAACAGGGGGAAGAGACAGGGTTTGGAAGGAGTCTGAGTTTGCGCCAGGGCAGAAGAAGAGCACGGACTGGGCAGCGGCACTTTGCGCCCGGAATCCTTCAGCTGGGCCTCGCCACGTGCAGTGGGGATGCCTCCTGGCTCCCTGCGGTCCCTGATCCCGGAGCCTTCCGGAGGACCTTGGGGCTGCGCCTCAGACCCAGCTATGGACTCCGCAGCATCAGGTTTGGCTCTGGAGTGCAGGGGGCCAGAAGTTCGCCTGGGGAGTTAGTACTGGGCCTAGCAAGAGGCGGAACCTAGGAAGAGGCTGGGGAATCCCGCCGAAGGGCCACAGCCTGCCTGTGGTGATTCCTACCTAACCTGTCAGACTCAGGAGGCTGAAGTCCTGGCATCCAGAGGCTGTGGAAGACTGTCCCAAGGCAAGAGCAGATGGATAGTAGGGCAGGAGAGGACCTGCTCTCTTCCCGATGTGGCGGGAAAAGTGAGGGAGTGACCCTTGGGCAGGGATCAGAGGACAGATAGGGCCATTGGGAGTCTTGTCACCCACCTACTCAAGCACTTCACTAATTAGGTTGGTTCAGCTGTGTATGAGATCAGCAGGGCATGCAGTGGGCGCCTCCTGTGAGACACAGCCCCCAGGATTAAAACCTCCTAGAGGTTTTAATTCATCTTTTCTAAGTTTAGAACACCCTATGCTTTACCAGGGCACATTTAAATTTGTTCTTTCTTCATCACACTTGCTCAAGGTCACAGAAATGGCCAATGGAAAATCTAGGCAAATCCCTGAACCTCCCACCCATTTTCTTCATGCCCTTGCTTCTCAGTGAGGCCCACAGACTAGCAGCACAAGCATCCCCTGGAAGCCCTCTAGAAATGCAGGTCCTCAGGCCCTGCTGAACCAACCTTAACAAGTCTCACCAGAGTTATGAGAGCCGCGGGAGCCACACACACCGTGAAGCTTTCAGAGTGCTGACCTATGATGTGCTGCTGCCTCCGCCATGTTGATTTAGCCTTAACTACTTCTCTGGCATGATTTCAGTTAGTGTTTGTTTTAAGGCCTTTATAAAGACAGAAAGCTCTATAATAGAGGGACTCTGCAGGTGTGCTGCAGAGACCTAATGGTGCCTGGGGACACTGAGGTGGCTCCTCGGGAAGCCGGCCTCTGAGAGCTGGGGTCCCAAGGATGAGGGGAGAGGATCACGTCTTCCCCTGAGTCCTCATACTTTCTGTGGTCTTGCCCTGGGCCTTGTTCTGCAGTTGTCAATCTGCTTATACCAACTGGCTGGATTTAAGATTCCTTGAAGCCCTCCCCCCTGGTTATATTTCCAAAATGCCTAGTAGAGGACTGCATGAGAAGCCACTGAGGGAATGCAATGGGTTGGCCAGCCTGGAGTCACACTCCAACTTCCTGCAGCCTGTTGTGGGCCCTGGACAGGTGTGGTGGAGCCTCACACAGCTGTGTTCAGGA